CATTTTTTCATAGCTATATATAAAGTAAAGGAGCACCAATTAGAGAAGAGTAGGGGATCTTGTTAAGTGCAGCAAAGGCAGGCAGAGCACTGTACCTGTCCACTATTCCAACCTCAGTGGCAGGCACATGATAACTCTTCCAGAAATATTTGTTTTGAATGGATGATGAAATGCTTTATGTCTTCCCTTTCTTTCAGGATCACTATAGAAACTGTCTTTGACATATTAAATACTTACCTGGAAAACCACATAATATGAAAATGAGAATAAGAACAGACCCTTGAGAACAGATGTTAAAGAAGATTTTATGCAGAGATTCTAAATCTAAAAAAATTGGAGCAATTTAAACTACTTTAATTTTCTGAATGTAAGAATCTACTGACACTTTTTTAAAGCTCCCAATGGGAGTGTTTTTACCTTTCATCTCACCAACACACATCTTCATATGGATATTTTCAAAATATGTTTTTAGTTGTAGATAACACAATACCTTTATTTACTTATTTTTATGTGGTGCTGAGGATGAACTCATTGCCATGCTCTACCACTGAGCTACAACCCCAGCCCAATATGGATGTTTTCAGTCAGTGTGTTTCTTAATATTTGCCTTAAAATATAATCATGAGATGCCAAACCAACAGTTTTCAAGTATAAAAATGACTTGCATTTTCTAGTTCACATTACTCTTCTCTCAGAATGATTTGAAAGACTAGTAAGCTTCACTCTACTTCCCCAATCCTCTATTTCTAGAACCTGACCTATACTTCCTGCTGCTTAGTGAAATTTTTTTAGTTGAATCCCAAAGAAATATCAACTTTTCCCAAACAACATATCACATTATTCACAATAGTCAAAAGGGAGAAGCAACACTAGTGTTCATTCACAGAAGAATGGATAAGCAAAATGTGATATACACATAAAATGGAATATTATTCAGTCTTAAAAAGGAAGAAAATTTTGACACATGCTATAACAGGGATGAACTATGAATATATTTATGCTAAGTGAAATAAGAAATTCACAAAAAAACAAATATTACGTGATTCCACTTATATGAGACAGAGTAGTCAAATTCATGGAGACAGAAAGTGGAACAGTGGTTGTCAGGAGCTAGAGGTAGAAGGGAAAGGGGAGCTCATGTTTATGAGTACAGAGTTTTCGTTTTGCAAGATGAAAAAGTTCTGGAGATGAATGGTGATGATGGTTGTGGAATGACAGGAATGTATGTAATGGCATAAAACTGCACACATAAAATTTATGTTTATATTTTATCACAATTAAAAAAATAAACAACATATTTTCCCCAGTAAATCTATTTCCCCTCCAATATAAATTTCATTGGTCATCTAACTCACCTTACATTCCAAACCCAACCACCAAATTCTCTCTCCAAAAATTCCCTTTCCATTTCCAAGGAAACTGCCTAAGTTTGATTCTTACCTCTCACCTCCACTACTATTTTCCTAAGCCATCCTCCACATTGCCTTTAGAATGGTCTTTTATAATACAGATATCATCACACCACTCTCCCATGTAAGAACCTTAAAATAATATTTATAATAGTAATGTTCATAGAACAAAATCCAACTTCTTTTTAATAACAAAGCAAAAACCAAAACCAAACAAACAAGTCTTCAGAATAAGATTCATTCTTTACAGGCTCATCTTTCCTAACCTCCTTCATAAGTGCTAGTTATTCTGATCTCCTCAGTTCCTTGAACACTCCATGTTCTTTTGTGCTTCAGCGCAAACCCTACTTAGAATGCCCTTTTCTCCTTTACTGATATGGATAGTTCCTACTTTTCCTTTCCAACTTAGATCCAACAGCCAGTTCTCAGAATCTGCTCTAATCCACTATTCTCTTCCTACTACTGCAAGGGCATCCTCATTCTACTTCCACTCCTACCATTCAGGAGTTTTCTTCTTTGTACAGGCATCTCTACAGACCACCTTAGTATTGTTTCTTCCAATGAAGTGAAACACACAATTTTTTTTGGTTTCCTACTGCATATAAAATTATGTTTAAGATGGGCATGGTGCACATGCCTATAATCCCAGCTACTTGGGAGGAGGCTGAGGCAGGAGGATCCCAAGTTCAAGGCCAGCCTAGGCTTGGAGAAACCCTGTTTCAAAATAAAATAAAAAGGGGTGGGGAGACTGAGGATGTAGTTTGGGGAGACTGGGGATGTAGTTCAATGACCCTGGGTTCAATACGCAGTATTGAAAAAAAAGTTGTATGTACACTATACTTTTGTCTATTAAATGTACAAAAATATGTCTAAAAAACAATGTATATACCTTATTTCAAAAATATGTCTAAAAACAATGTACATACCTTATTTCAAAAGAACTATCACCGAAAATTGTTAATGTTCATCTGAGCCTTCGGTAACTCATAATGTTTTTGCTGGTGAAGGGTCAGCCTTGTTGATGGCTGCTGCTGGTCATGGAGGGGGTGTTGAAGGTTGGGGTGGCTGTGGCAATTTCTTAAGACAACAATGAAGTCTGCTACATTAATTGACCCTCCTTTCATGAAAGATTTCTCTACAGTATGTGATGATATTTCATAGCATTTTACCCACAGCACAACTTCTTTCAAAATTGGAGTCAATCCTCTTAAGCCTGCCATTGCTTTATCAACTAAGTTTACAAAACATTCTAAATCCTTTGTTGTCATTTCAACAATGATGATGTTCACAGCATCTTTACCAGAATAGATTCCATGTCAATAAACTTTCTTTGTTCATCTATAAAAAGCAACTCCTCACTTATCAAAGTTTTATCGTGAGGTGGCATCAATTTAGTCATGTCTTTGGGTTCCATTTCTAGTTCTCTTGAACTAGAGATAGTGCACATGTACAGTTACTTCCTCCACTGAAATCTTGAACCCCTCCAAGTTATCCGTTGAGGGTAGGCTGGAATCAGCTTCTTCCAAATTCCTGTCCATGTTGTTATTTTGACCTTCTCCCTTAAATCACAAATGTTTTTAATGACATCTAGAATAGTGAATCCTTTCCAGAAGGGTTTACTTTGCCCATATTCATCAGAGGAATCACTACTTCTGGCAGATAATAGCCTTAAGAATGTATTTCTTAAATAATAAGACATGAAAATAAAAATTACTACTAGATCCATGGGCTGCAGATTGGATGCTGTTTAGCAGGCATGAAAGCAACACAACACGAATCTCATTACATAGCTCCATCAGAGCTATTGGATGATGAGGTGCACTGTCAATAAGTAGTAATATTTTGAAAAGAATTCTTTTTTTTTTTTTGGTAAGCAAGTCTCAACAGTGAGCTTAAAATATTCAGTACACCTTGTTATAAACGGATGTGCTGTCATCCAGGTTTTGTTGTTCTATTTACAGAGCACAGACACAGTAGAGTTAGAATAATTCTTAAGGGTCCTAGGATTTTCAGAATGATAAATGACCACTGGCTTCAACTTAAAGTCACCAGCTGCATTAACCCTTAACATGAGAGGTAGCCTGTTCTCTGAAGGCAGCCATTGACTTCTCTCTAGCTAAGAAAGTCCTAGACTACATCTTTTCCCAATAAAAATTGCTTCGTTTACAATGAAAATTTATTGTTTAGGGTGGCCACCTTCATCAGTTATCTAAGCTAGGTCTTCTGGATAACATGCAGTAGCTTCTACACCAGCACTCAGTGCTTCATCTTGCACTTGTATGTTGTAGAGTTGACTTCTTTCCTTAAACCTCATGAATCAACCTCTGCTAGCTTCAAACTTTTCTTCTGCAGCTTCTCTTAGCCTTAGTAGAATTGAAGAGAGTTGGGGCCTTGCTCCACGTTAGGCTTTGTCTTAAGGGAACGTTGTGTCTGATCTGATCTTTTATCTAGACTACTAAAACTCTCTCCATAGCAGCAATAAGGCTGTTCTACGTTCTTATCATTTGTGTGTTCACTGAAGTAGCACTTTTAATTTTCTTCAACTGCTTTTCAACTCTGCATTCACAACTGGATAACTCTGGAACAAGAGGACTAACTTCTGGCCTATTTTAGGTTTTGACATGCCTTCTTCACTAAGCTTAATCACTTCTAGTTTTTTATTTCAAGTGAGAGACATGCAATTTAACCTTTCATTTAAACACTCATTGTAGGGTTATTACATTGCCTAATTTTAATGTTGTATCTCAGTGATGAGGAAGACCAAGGACAGGAGAGAGATGGGGAACTGGTCAGTTGGTGGAGCAGTCAGAATGCTCACAACATATTCATTAAGTTTACTGACATATGGGTATGGTTTGTGGATATAATTACAAAATAATTACAATAGTAACATCAAAGATCACTGATCACAGATCATCATAACAGATATAGTAACAAAAAAAGCTTAACTATTGCAAGAATTACCAAAATGTGACATAGATGCACAACATGAAACAGGCCTTTGGAAAAATGATGCAACACACTTGCTTAATGTAGGATTACCACAAACTTTGAGTTAGTATAAAAAGCACAAATGTGCACAGTACAATAAAGCAAAATGCAATAAAATGAGGTATGTTTGTATTCACATTATTCCTTGTATTTCCTGTACAGTATTTTAATATTTGCCAAGAGCAAGGGCTCTGAAGCCAGACTGCTGTGGTATTAATCTGAGCCCAGCATTTACTAGTAATCTTCCAAGTTACTTAACCCCTTTGATCCTCAGTTTTACTAGTTATAAATGAGGATTATAGCATCTGCCATGAAGAGCTGTTGGGAGGATTAAATCTTGTGAGGATTAAAGAATTCAAAACCATACTTGATTCTTAATAAGGTATCACTAGTGATGGTAGTGGTGGCAGGAACATTTCTGACACAATACTGCCATCTCCTCAAAAGCAAGGTATTCCAAAAGCCTTGAACAGTATCTACAGGAACTTAAGAAAGAGTTTAGAAGGAAGAACAGAGGGAAGGAAGGAAGGATGAGAAGAAGGAAGAAAAGAAAGGAAGGAGAGAAATAGACAAAAACAAATAGAATTGGGAAAGACTTACCACCATTTTTGCCCACAGTTCGAAAGCATCTCCAGAAGGCCCGTAAAAATGATGCCCTATTGTGGGGGGTGGCTTGGATGAAGCTGAATTCTCGAAAGAGAATATGAGTTCCCTGGCATACACTGGTAAAACTGCAAAGACAAAAATTAAATCATCATCAGATGGAATTCAGAAAGCTGCATTCAGAATGAAAATTTAATACCAGAGAGAACCACTGCCAAAGACGTGGGAGAAATCTATCTTTTCCCCCAACAAAACTTGGAAATACAGATTAGACAAAATCCTTCTAAAGGGAAGTCTCTTCAGATAACCACATCCCTCTGAAAATTCTTGAATCCAGTTCCTCTGAGTACTTCCTGCCTACAACATGTGCACATTGAGGATATTATTTAATCAGTCAATGGAGAGTTCCCTCTTATAAAGGGAACTCTTTCCATCTTTACCTGGATGATACAGGCATTCTTTTTTTGGAGAATATTTCTCCTTCTATCCCATTCGGAATTATGCTTCCCTAAAGTATTCTTTCTGTACTGCCCTTGGTCTATAGCAGCTGCCCTAAGGATAACATGGCTTATAGGGGGGGTAGTATCTATTCTAGTTTAGGGGTGCTGCTATATACCTCCCTGACAGTAACCCCAGAGACAAATCATATGTGGAAAAGGACAGGAAAAGTTCCAAACAGTACACTAAAGGCAAATAGAAAGAACAAGGGTAGAAAGTGGCCCCTAACTAGAGAATGGAGCAAAGCCCCAGGGCCCAAGTGAGTCAGTGTTTAAACTGGGCCAGGGAAGGGAAAAAACACACTCCATTGCCTTTGGGTTCCCTGCCAAAGAAATAAAGGCTGTAGAGCTTGGCGTAATCTAAAAATGGAAATTCCACAGAAGAAAAGGCAATTATCCAGTAATCATCCCTACCAAGGGCCAACTGCAGGTTCCAGAAAACTCCTAAATTCTCTGACAAGTAAATCACGGGTGGAAAACATGTTAATCTTTGTGGAGAAGCAGACACTAAACTGAAGATAGCAAGCAATGGAGGGAACAGTGGTAATTCCAAGCTCCAGTTTGCATCTGATGACCAACTAAAGCGGGTGGGGATCTGAATCTCCAAACTGAACAGGAAAAGAATCTCACTGCCCTTCTCCTAGACCAAATTTAGGGGAAAGTTTTTACTGTCTTTAACAGAGACTATGCTACCATTTAGGATAAAATCAGCCTCTTCCTATTAATGTTAACAGTACTATAATAAAAAAGCAAATTGCACACTCATCTTTTCTCTTAGAAAACTAGCATAAAAATCCACTTTTAAGACATTATAAGAAAGTATAAGAACAACATCTGTCAAAGGATTATGTTAGAAGAGAGGTTTTTAAAAATCTGTCAAAGTGTTAAACTACCCATGCCGTTTATGTCCTATACAGGAAAATGAAAATACAGCAAATGAGCTGTTCCAGGTAAATGGGTCAGGCTACATTTCCAGCAAAAGAAGCCTAAAATAATAACATTGTAACCTACATTTATGAAGCAATCCCACAAAGAATTAGGCCCAAAGTGTGTTTCATACCCTAAGGGGAAAACCTGGTGTTTAGGCTGTGGTCTAAGCAGCAAACAACTAATAATAGTGAAACTATATCCTTTTAATAGCTTTTAATGCCACATTTTGCATAAAGCCTTTTCCCCATCCTATCCCCTACCTCCAATTCCCCTCTTATCTCACTTACAATTCTCAAAAAAACACTATTTCGTTGTTTTGTTTTGTTTTAAAGTCCTTTTAGACTGCAAGTTCATGTAGTAAACAATCTTTGTCTCTACTGTTACCTAACACAAAGATACTCCATAAATGTTTGTGGTAGTTGATTTTGAAAGATAAGAAAAAATTAGTAATACCAAATAGAATGAATATCTGCAGCTCTCTATAATGAAATACTAAAAGTCCATATTTTATAATGTTTTTAAAAGTCTAGGCCTTTCTTCTGGTATTGTAATGTTGCAATTGGCCTTCTTTTGATTAGTATTTTCCTGGTGTATCTTTTATTATTATGTACCTTTTATGTCTTTAATTTTAAATTTTTCAGATCATTTTGTTTTAGGTGTGTCTCTTATAAATAGTATATAGTTTAATTTTGTTTCTCTATCCTAATTTACAGTCTCTATATAGTAAAATATGTATTTTAAGTGTATTTAATTAACATCTGACATTTATTTGGTCCTTTCCGTGAACTGTCTTTCTTTGCCTTTTTCCCTCTTTTCTTGCTTTCTATTTTGTTGGTACAGTTTTGTGGGGTTTTTTTCAAAAAAATTCTTTCTACTTCTTTGTTAGTAAAGGTATAGACAGAATCTGAAATCTTTTAAATATTCTTTAAAATTTAGCATACTTGCATTTATTTATTATATTTAGCATATAAATATTTATGTGTACATTTTTCTCAAATGTTGACAGTTACTCACTATCACTCTAAAACAAGACAAGGATCAAAGCATCCTTGAAGTTGCTGAGGCTGGCTTTGAACTTGCAATCCTCTTGTCTTAGCTTTCTGAGCTGCTGGTATTATACGCCTGTGCCATGGCTTCAAAGCACACTTTAAATAATTTACACAAAATTTTCACATTTTCTATTATCTTTTAGAATTTTACTTCTACATTTTTAAAATGGAAAACTTTTTAAGGTAGTGAAATATATATATATAATTTTCATCATATTAGCCATTTGTCAGTGTGCAATTCAGTGGCATTAAAAATATTCACAATAACCAGGTGTGGCAGTGCACACGTATAATCCCAGCAGCTCAGGAGGCTGAGGCAGGAGGACTTCGAGTTCAAAGCCAGCCTCAGCAATTTAGTGAGGCTCTAAGCAACTCAGTGAGACCCTGTTGCCAAATAAAAAAAACAAAAAAGGGCTGGGACGTTGCTCAGTGGCTAAGCACCCCTGGGTTCAATCCTGAGTATCAAAAAAATAAAAACTAAAAAAACTAAAACTTCACAAAGCTGCACAACCATCACCACTATCTATACCCAAAACACTTTGTCATCTCCAACAAAAACCATATATCCATTAGATAGTAAATAATGTCTTTTTTTGGCCTCCCACTAGACTTTGGTAACCTCTATTTCACTTTCTGTCTCTGTAATCTACCTATTCTAGATACCTCATATAAGTGGAATCTTACAATATTTGTCCTTCTGTGTCTGGCGTGTTTCACCATGGATAATGTTTTTTAGGGTCCACACATGTTGTGGCATATATCAAAATCTCTTTTTAAGAATTAATAATGTGGGCTGAGACTGGGGCTGTAGCTCAGTGATAGAGCACTCATCTAGCATGTGTGAGGCCCTGGGTTCGATCCTCAGCACCACGTAAAAATAAACAAATAATAAAAGTATTGTGTCCATCTATATCTAAAAATATTTTTTAAAAAGAATAATGTTTCATTGTATGCATATACAATATTCCACCTTACTTCCCCCTTTGGTTATTGTGAATAAAGCTGCTATCATTGGTACAAGCATCTGTTCTCATTTTGCTTTCAACTCTTTTGGATATATACCTAGGGTGCAATTGCTGGGTCATATGGTAATTCTATGTTTAACCTTTTGAGACACCACCAAGCTGTTTTCCAGAGTGGCGGTATTATTTTACTCTTAGCAGCCATGCACAAGGGCTCCCACTTCTCTGAGTCCTCACCAACATGTGTTCTTTTCATTTTCTTTTTTTTCTTTTCTGATAGCCAACCTAGTAGGTATGATAGTATCTCATTGTTTTGATTTGTATTTCCCCAATACCTAATGATGTTGATTGAGCATCTTTTTGTATATTTATTAGACATATATAAAATCTTTGGAGAAATGTCTATTCAAGTCCTTTGGCTCCTCCATCCCCAGCAACTCAGGCTCTTGGTGCTGGGGATCCAACCCAGTGCCTTGTGCATGGTAGGCAACACTACCACTGAGCTAGACCCCTATCTCTGGTCATTTTTCAATTAGATTTTTTGTTTTGTTGCTACTGAGGTGTAGAGGTTCTTTATATATTCTTTTTACCAATTCTTTAACAGATAAAGATTTGCAATTATTTTTTTCCTATTCTATAGGTTGTCTTCCCTCCGCCCCTCACCTCTCATAGCTCTGTTAGACCCAGGGCCTGGCACCTGCTAGGTAAGCACTCTACTACAGAGCTACATCCCCAGTTCTTTTTCTTCTAAGACAGGATCTCACTAAGACGCCAAGGCTGGCCTTAAATTTCTGATCCTCTGTCTCAGCCTCCTAGGTAGCTAGGATTATTAACCAAGCCAGGTTATCACTCTTGGCTTGGATTATGATTTCTCAGTAGTTATAAACCTTTAGCTCTATCAGCGAAAGCCTGTGAGAGGTGAATGATCTGTTTGCATCTGCCTGAAAATATCTATCTTCCCTTCTGGAGAGAGATGGTTTATTCAGTGGAAAATTCTGGGTTACCACTTATCTTTTCTTAGCACTTTCAAGATACTACTCCATTATCTGGTACCTATCATTGTTATCAAGTCCACAATTTGTCAAACTCCTGCCATCCCTTTGAGTTAATCATTCTTAATTCATATTAGCTATTGTCTTTATTATTAATATCCTGCAGATTCTACCATATAGATTTATTTTGGCCCTGCACAGCACTTTAATCTGATATTTTGGGGTCAATTCTGGGAAATTCTATCATTATCTTTTGAAATATTGCTTCTTTACCAGTTTATCATTTTGCCTCCTATTTTATATATATATATATATATATATCTCGCCACTCAATGTCTTTTGCCTGTCTTCTCATAGTTTTTATCTTTTGCTATAGTTAGTATCTTCCATATTAATTCTCTATTCTATTATGTTTTATCTAGATTTTATTCTATTGAATTTTGGTTTTTCTTAATTTCAGAAACTTATTTTATCTTTCCAGGATTTATCCTTTAAAGAATACACATAGTTTTTTCTTCATTTTGCATGTTTTATCTCCCAATTTTCTCTTCTTTTAAAATAAACATCAATACTCTCTTTAGCTAAGAATCCTATACATGTTTATTGAGTTTACTATCTGGCTTTCTTAGCATTAGTTTCCCTTATATAGTTTACAGTTTCACTGTACAGGCTTATATTAAGTGTGAGACTTTTACTCT